TCTGTAGAAAGATTCTCCAACCCAATTGCTGATAACCTCTGAACTTCATCACTTGATGGTTGTATGAGTAGTTCTGTGAATACTGCCGTAAAATTGTGTGTTCTTGCTGAAAACAGTATTTGGGGTTCATATAATGTTGTTGTGAATCTGACTAGAATGCCTACTAAACCTTCTAAGTAAGTGCTTTCAAACCTGCTCGATCTTGTTCCTCTTTTTTGAATTTGACTGATTGCTTCTAGGATTGTAGGCACTGTATTATTGTATAGAAGAGCTAGGTTGAGCGTCAGGTTTTGATGGGGAAGTTGAGCTAGAAATTTTGCTGAAACTGCCTGCTTCTTGGTGATGAGGGTTGTATCAGTTGGGCTCTGGACAAGATTCTCAGGCTGTCCTCTGGTTTTGCAGAGTCTTTCTGCTAGCACATTGCCCATAAGGGGTGAAAGAACAGTTAGTAGCGTGGTTGCGGCAATGGCAAGTTCTTCATGTGGGTTATTGATGAATTCAATGAGGGTGTAGCTTGCTTCAGTTTCTTTTACCAGTGAGACAATGGTGGCTGCACATCTGGGGATCTTAGCAATAAACAAAAGAATTCTGATGAGGTTGTTGTTTAGTTCATCTGAGTTTGAGTTCTTGAGCATGTACATGATGTTACACACCACATAATCTGAAGTCATGGTGTGACCGTGAGAATTAACCTGGAGGTTCTCAAGCTCAATCCCAGCATCAAGTATGTTTGCAAGGATTGCAACTGCTTCATTTTTTGAGTTCATTGGCTCATTTTGAATATTTCGAATGAACATCTCTTCAACCATGATTTGTACAATTCCAGCTTCTTTAAGTATTTTTCCATTTGGCTGGTATGATGAGAGTTGTGCTAGAGCTTTGAATGCCGCCCTTCGGGTCAGGGTATTTCCCCTATGTACCATTTTGATGAGAGCAGGAGAGGCCCTCTCAGCAACATAAGTTGTGCTGTCATGTCCAAGAACAATTTCCCCAAGGTAACTTGCCATTTCCATCATCATCTCTTCACAACCTGTTATTTCAGAAAGAAAAAAAAATTATAAGATAACATTTGAGATTTTCAACAACTAAATTATCATGTCATTTAATCTGAACTTGCAAAATGGTCACAATGGTAAAATTAATGGTCCAAAAAGTTTGAGTTTCTTTGTTATTTATGCTTGGCTGGAACTGTGGAGTTGTGGAAATTACCTTCAGTAAGATTCTTTAGGAGGGGTTCCAGGAGTCCATTTTCTGCCATGTTTTTTATGTTATTTGGCGAATGCTCTAAATTCCTTAAGATTTCATTTGCTTTTTCTGAAGCGAAGGCATCAATAGACCGTCTATATTTAATCCTGATCAACATAAGGATTGCTCCAGTGACTGATCCAATTCTCTCACATAATGATTGTGATCTTGAAAGCTCAAGCAAGTATAGCAATGATGCATGCCTTAGGGACTGGTGACTACTAGAAAGCATCTTGATTATAGTTGCAATATTCGTTGTTTGCGCAATCATTTCCTGCACAAGAAACCACTCTGTCAAAGTTGGAGCAAAAAAGTTTTCATTCTAGTCAATCTACTGGTTTGGTTAGTGCATGTTTTAGTAAATCATAGTACTTTTCATAATTGGTTGTTTCTCATTAGAAATGAGGAAATTGAAATTTGACCTTGCTGTCGTTATCATCCTCCACCAGTTGCCTCAAAAGTTCCAGCACTGCGCATCTAACATCTTTGTCTTTGTACTCCAGACACTGAACAAGCAATGGCAATATTCCAACACTCCGAACTTGCACCTTACTGTAAGGGTTCCTTTGGCAGATACTTTGCACGTCCTTTACTGCTTCAAGTACCATATTCTCTGAACTAGCCAAGGACAATGCTGCACGCGCAACCTTAATCCTTGCTGCCTGATTCCTTTCCTTCCACTCCTCTAATGTGGATTTCAGAGCTATGTTGGCATTGAAAGATTTACTCATCAACTTTTGTCCAGTGATTGGGCAGAAAATTTCTTCCGAGTCTTTGAACTTCTCAAACCACTCAACAATTGCTTTCCTCTCATAGGTCACTCCGCTTCTTATGGTTACTGGGTCATCCATGATCTTCTTTGTCAGTGGGCAGAAGAAAGTCTCATACAGAGGCTCCATGTACTCACCCACCTGTGGAAATGTTGTTAATGATCCACTCATGCTCCCATGTTTTCCTTTGCTGACCCAACTTGTGCTTTTAAGGATTTCAATCAGCTGAGGATTCTCCGTGGAAACCTCAAAATCTATAGGGTAGAGATCTGTTTCTTCTTTTGGTGTTTGTTTTTCCTTTGGTTGCTCTTCCAAGGACAGCATCTTTGTATCTTGTTCATTGGCCTCAGATGCTTGAGCTTCAAAATGAGCATTCTGCATCTCCTTTGAAAGCGGCCGCACTGCAACTTCTGCATATTGTTGGTCTCCAAATGTGGAGGGCGGTATCAAGCTCAGGCACTCTCCTATGTGCTTAATGACCTCCTCCAGCTGTGCTATAATGATTCTCAGTTCAGGATATGAAAATGGTTGGATGCCTATTTGGCATCTCTCCACAAGATCTTTGGCCAGATTAACACTTTTGGAAATAGACTGCAGAATTTCCATTGCATTTTCTGGGCAGGTGTCAGTCATCTTCAACTCCATTATGGCCATAGAAGCCCGATAGAGGTAGCACGCAATCTCAATGAAACTTTCGTGTTCCACCTTGATGCTTACTACCAATTCTGTGATTTCTGAAATGGATGCCAATATTGAATCTGCAAGACTCTCAACTGGACTTGTATCTTCCTTGAGCTGAAGAAAAGAATGAGACAGATTAGTCTTTTACCACACTCATGAATCTATGAAGTAAAGGAATCTATTTTTCTATAGAAAAAGATTCCTTGGTTTCCATCCTTAAGATACTCCCACAAAATAAAGGTAGTGATACAGATTTTCTGCCACCAAGAAAGTTAGTGAGTTAATCAAGGTTATTCAGTTTAATATTTTCTTGTTTTTGTTTTTGTACTACTTATACCTGGTGACGGAGATATCAGCTAGCATGCTTGTATCATTCTAACGTTACCTGGGAAACTAATTCGTAAACGGTAGATCTTTACCACTATGTAGATAGACGTATGAAAGCTTCCCAGAGCCTTGATTTTCATTTCTCAAACACATAAGAATTGTAAAAAGCTAAAAAGAATATGAAGGCTCCTACCGGCATCCAGTTGTAGTTGGTGTGCACTATATAGCCTCGCTGTTGTGAACCTCAACCACAAAACCAGAGTGCTAAGCAGAAGACTTGGCAAAGATGAAACTTTCAATTACCAGTCACTGATAGCTCTTTGAATATTTGTGTGATCTCACTGATAGTAATTTTTATTTAGTTAGATGCCTTTTGTTGTTGCTAGACTCAAGAGCAGGTACAAAAGACTTGGTCAGCTTGCAATCACTTCTGGTTTGGTTGGAAGTCTCTCTCTGATGAATTACTACCACACAGAAGAAAGCCTCTGATACTGGTCAGTGTTACGTGTAGTCATTCTTCTTCTATTTTAATTACTTCCTATAGGATTGACTAAGTAGTTTCTTCAAGATAACGCATTTGTTTTATTTATAATCAAGGTTTGTAATTACTTTAACAAGGTAGACTCTTTCTTTTTGCCATATATTAGAACCACGCTGAGTTGATGTGATGCAATGCAAGGTAAGCACGTGTTTGACGTTACAAAGAATCTGGAGGCATGAAAGCTTATGCACAACTATGTGAAATAACTAAACTAGCCCTTACATCTGATCCACTCTGATGCATGGGGAGATGGATTGAACTTAGTACATGAGGATAGACACACTATCTTCACCAACTGGCCTAATTCATATTTGTGAAACGCATAAGTTTTTTTTTTTTTTTTTTGGTTCAAAGTGAAATTCATTAGATAAGAAAATTATGGTAGATAGCCCAATGATATAGGATCACAAACACAATAACCAATACACTTAGAGAGAGAAAACTCATCATCCACTCAAACTTCTACACGTGGCATATACTTGTTCGCCCCACAGCCACCACCCTTAAACACGTGACATATACAATTGGCTGAATTAGAAGCTTTAATGTGCTAAAGATTAAAAGCACAATTATTACTAGACGACAAATCGCTGTCTACCCAGATAGCTTGCCACCATTTTATTGGATAAGGATGCCGGATCCTGGATGCCAATGGCGGACTCAGGAATTTTTATAAGTGTAGGCTAAATATATATTTTTTTTATAGATGAGATATATTATAAGCCTTTTTTTTTCTCTTGAAACAAAAATGTAAATAAAATTTTATAAATCAAACATGGCCACATTACAAGTAAATATAACATAAAGAAGTACAAAATATAAATAAATACCAATCAAATACATTGCCCAACTTAAAAAAATCATATATGCTAATTAATAATTCAAGTTGCAAAAATAAAATATATATCAACAATCTCCAAAAGTTTTCACCCTAACCCTAAATCATAAAAACTCAACAACAACAATTAAAATTGGAAATTGAATATATATAAAATAAAAAAACTTACCAAGATTGAAGAACCTACTGAAGATAGGTTGGTAAATTTTTTAGAGGAGGAGAGCTATTTCCTCTTGGCTCTCAAGATTCAAATATGGCGTTTTGGGTGGCTAGAAGAAATTTTTTTATGTTTGCTCTCTGTGGGTGTAGCCACTGGCGAATCCAAAAAAAATTTAGCGGATGTGCAATATTGACTAAGTATGAAAAATGGTTTTTTGGAATACTCATTTTCTCAAGATAATTTTTGGCGGCTTTTATTCCTTACACATCAAATAAGAAAATTTGATTTTATGGGATTTTAATATGAAGTATATATTGACTTAATGAAAGTAAAAGGACAAAGACATTTACTTACAATGGACAATTTGAAGCACTTACAATGATTTTTCCGGCGAATTTATATAGGTTTGAATTGATGTTATTATTTCCTATATGCTTTAGAACTTGGCCAAGCAACCAGTCTACTCAACCACCATCGTCTTCGTGTTTGCTTCTTTCTCTATTCTTGGGTTGGTCAAGGCATCGTCTTGTGATGCGTTGACCAAAAAAGCAAACTTACCATTTGTCCTGTTACGTGTGCTTTTCAAGATAAAGCAAACTACTCAAACAAAGCGGCTACGAATTTCCTCATGAAAGTGAAAGCAAGAGAAGAAGAGAAACTCTCACTCACCGTAAACCAGCAAGAAAAGAAAACAATGACCACTGACAGCAAGCAACCCAAGAACCCAAGAAAATGCAAGCAACCCATTAACGAGGAATCTCCACTGCTGCCAAATCAGAGGGGCTGCGATGAGCAGGCAGTGCAGGAATTCAATGGGGCATCTTTTGCTGGTGCAGTGTTTAATCTGTCAACGACCATTATTGGTGCTGGGATTATGGCGTTGCCTGCCACCATGAAAGTGCTGGGTCTTGGCGTTGGGATTGGTATGATCATTTTTGTTGCGATTTTGACAGAAGCCTCTGTGGAGATGTTGTTGAGGTTCAGCAAAGTGGGAAAGGTTGTGTCTTTTGGAGGGGTTATGGGGGATGCCTTTGGAAAAGCTGGGAAGGTTGTGTTTCAGTTGTGTATCTTGGTGAACAATCTTGGAACGCTCATTGTCTACATGATCATCATTGGTAAATAATTTTGTTTCATTTCTAGTCCTAATTTTTGGGTGTGAATTTTAATTGGGTTCCATCCATAATATGATTTTTCCTAATTATCAGTCTTCATACAGTATAATATTACTTCCCCAATAGTAAATCAGGTGTGCAAAGCTCTGACTTAATTGGTGCATACAAGAAGCATTCAAATTGTATGATACTGCACTTCAATTTCAACCAATTATGATGTCTGAAGTGTTGTAATTAGGTTTCTATAATTGATGCGCTGGTTGAAATCAAAAGATGCTGGCACATGTATTTCTTTCAATTTGATTACAAGTACATGTGTAATAATTCTCGTTGTTTTACTTTCAATGTGACTTAGGTGATGTGCTGTCTGGAACTTCTTCAACTGGAGTTCACCATGCTGGAGTATTGGAAGGGTGGTTTGGTGAACACTGGTGGAACGGGCGTACCTTCGTGCTGCTTGTCACAACCATTTTTGTATTTGCTCCATTGGCATCCTTAAAGAGAATAGGTACATAAAGACTGTTTCTTTGTAATACGGAATGCAGAAAAAAGACTAATCCTTGTGATTAAATAATCCACACATTGGTTTCTCCAGGAGTTGTAGTCTTCAATGGCATAAGAACTTGTCCACAATTACAATTCTATCATGGAAGTTTTGCTTTAGCAGTTAAATACTGTATGTGTCATTGGTCTTCACCAACCAATTTATTTTATGGATCAAGCATTTCTGTAACTTGTGCCTTTTTGTGATTGCAGATTCATTGAGACATACATCTGCTTTAGCAGTTGCGCTGGCAGTTGTTTTTCTAGTTATTACTGCAGGAATCGTAGTTATTAAATTCTTTTATGAAGGTATTTCCATGCCCAGGTTCCTTCCTAATGTGTCTGATATTGCATCAGTATGGAATCTCTTCACGGTTGTTCCTGTTCTTGTGACAGCCTTCATCTGCCACTTCAACGGTATGCTAGCTGATCAACATGATATGCAGCTTTTATTTCAAAGTGAAAAAGCATAACCATTAACGAGAATTTTCTTCTCCTGCAGTGCATACAATCGACAATGAGCTTGAGGACTCTTCCTTGATTCAACCAATTGTGCAGACATCATTGGCTTTGTGCTCTTCCGTCTACATACTGACCAGCCTTTTCGGGTTCCTCCTATTTGGGGACTCAACTCTTGATGATGTGCTAGCCAACTTTGACACCAACCTTGGCATCCCTTATAGCTATTTGCTCAATGATATTGTTCGCATCAGCTATGCCCTGCACCTCATGCTTGTTTTTCCTGTTATCTTCTATCCACTGCGGCTCAACTTGGATGACCTCGTCTTTCCCTCATCTAGGCCTCTGGTTTCAGATAATTGTAGGTTTGCATTAAGCACCATTGGGCTCATTTCTGTTGTCTTCGTGGGTGCAAATTTTATACCCAGCATCTGGGATGTCTTCCAGTTTTCTGGAGCTACTGCTACAGTTTGCATTGGGTTCATCTTTCCTGCTGCCATTGCTCTAAGGTGAGTTTTGTGGCATACAATTGTTTTCATTCCATTTTCATTTTGGATTTATCTTTCCTGTTGCCAGTTTCATTTTTGTGTTCTGGCGAAGAAAGCGCTTACATTCGAATTATCTCTCTGAAATGCGGGATTAGTGATTGATGAATGTGCTTAAAAGGTTACATAACATCGTCAATTCATTCTGAGGAAAAGCTGAGTTGTGCTCGAGTTGGTTTAGATGCATATAAATTCAAAAAAAGCTGTCATCAATTTCAATTTGGTTACAAAGCTAAATCAGATATCTGAATATCCTACTTCTCATTCCATGATTTGGTTTCAAATTTCTGTGATGCAGAGATCGACATCGAATAGCAACAAGAAAGGACAAGATTTTATCTGTTTTCATGATTGGTCTTGCCGTGTTCTCAAATGCGATAGCAATATACAGTGATGCCACTGCCCTGTTAAAACAGAAGGTGCCCCCTCGTGCATGATTTCACGTTGTTCCACACATTAGTTGAACAACCTGTACGTATACTGCATGCCATAGCCATTTGAAATCCAGAAAAACATTGATGTTTTCTGGGGAGAAAAACATATTTAGGAGATAATAAGGTGAAAGAACTATGTACTATTCGTCTCTGGACATGCAGCCACCGGCTCCATGCGTATTGGAAATTTCTAATGCAATACCTCATTTCTTAATTCTTCCAGGGCCCTAGAAGCAAGCTTCCCTCTAATCTTCCTTGATGCACACAGGAGGAGATTTTACTTGAATTTGCTCGTCTGTTTTAATTATTGGGCAGATTTTGTTTATTTATATAAACTGATTCATAGGAAAGCCTTTGAAATTATGGTGTCAAGGAAGCCGATACACTTACGAATACAACAAAGCCATAAAAACGGTATTGCATTCCAAGTTCAACCTCCTGTAATTTTCACATTAAAATCTAATGAATTTGCTTCAAAATCGAGTAAAGAATAAAAAGGGCAAAAATCCAGTACAATAACTTATTCTCTACCTTTGAAATGAATCAACGGAACAAAATATACAAACAGAACTTGACAACAATTATGTTGACCTTTTATGCAAGCCACTAATAAACATACACCCACCCATATCTATGGCACTCGTCATCTACGAAGAGTTAAGACCTCCACAATATTCATCTACCATCCATTGCCCATTTGTTTGAATCAACTCACCAAGTGTTTTTCATGCTCTTGAAGCTTTAATTTGCTCTGATTTACATGTGGCTGTTCGTTTCTCAAATGCTGCATGTTGACCATCTTGTTTCCCCAATCCTTTTAAAATAGTGGGTGCAGAAGACAGCCAAGCCCTCTGGGATATCTCCAGCTAATTCTTGAAGATAGCTTGTCTCGACATATGTACAAGAGTACGGACAGCAAATGGACAGCAGCAGTCAAATCAAGATTTTTTCCACAAGAATTGTTCTCCTTTGACATCACGCAGGGAACTTGTCTTGACAATCTCATACAAATTAAATTGGACCACCTTGTGATTGAATGATATAAGGAACTAAAACAAGCAAAAAGGGCACTGCTGCCTAACAATCATCTGGCTCAGACTAGTTGAAGAAATAGGGAGATTCAAGAACATCTCTGAGATCGAAGTCTCCGCGATCTGGTAAGGGGGGGAAAGTCAAGGTGGGGAAAGACTGTTGAAAGCCTTCCAACAACTGTAAACATAAAAGTACAAATTAAATAGGCAACATAACATGGGAAGAGCATATTTCAATTTCATAAGTTACAGAAAATTGGGATCACAGTACGAAATGCAATTTAAAAAGCTGGAAATATTTTTCTTTTAATAGCCCATGAATTATTAAAAAGTAAAAACTTTTGTGATGACAAGCAAAGGAGTGTGCTTCGAAATCCCCTTTATTTTTTAATTATCATGTGAAGGATTATTTCTAATCTAATGTCACCATTTGTTACATTTTTTTGTCGTTACTAATTTTATAGAAAATAAATTCTAACAAGGGGAACTGTTGAATCATAATCTCACAAGTGACAGAGCAGCCTATCTGTTACTAAACAAGGATAGCCACTCACACCAAGTAAAGATACTCACATTCTCCAGTATCGGTGCCTCGTAGAGTTCAACAAACTTCTCCCTTAGTATCCTATTCATTTCGTCAATATCACATGCATGCGTCCAATATGAATCATGCACTCCTGTATCATTAGCAGTTATAGGGAAACCTCCAAACATGTGAACGGCTACTAGCCTATACAAGAGAGAAAACAAATAGCAAATAAGAATACAGTAGAAACCTGCAAAGTTTAAGCCTGCCTTTTTGCAGGCAACAGCAGTCATCATCATGTGGGAACCATCAAGGGAGTGAACAAAATTCGGGGGAAAGGCTGTCCTCTGCCGTTTAACCATGACCTTGTCAGTTTCTCTTTGTAATGTCAACACCTGAAGGGAAGTCTTAATCTGCATTCAATTCCAAGTGGTATCTTAGTTACATACTGGCCTTAAATGTTTTTAAGGTACTTTTGTAATTAAGTAAAATATATGGCCACATTTGAAGTTCTAAGAAGTTGTTTAAAATATTACAAGATGCCGTCCTAATTGCCGGTATGGTTGTACAACAGGAAGTCCAAGGGGAGTGATCCACCGAACTGGTTGATTCTCTGAAGCTATCACCTATTTATGTTCAAATATGACTGTCAGAACTAGTATAAGAACAACACAGAATCAGTTCATACTTTAAAGAATTGATGTCTTAAAAAGATATAGTCAAAAGAAGAATGAAGTATGAAATTTCAGACTTGTGCTCAGAGGTGCAGGTGCTAGAAAGCAAGTAACTTAAAACCAACAGGTCCAATACTAATATCATTAATCAAACATAGAATCCGAATCTGTACCTTGTGCATGTGCTCAGCTTTCAAGTCATTAACAGTTACACGCCATTCACACATAACTATGAGGTACAAACAGACCACAAAGTAGATGAAACATACCTTTGCACATTCACCAAGCCAACTCATAATACTTCTTGCAGCTTCAAACATCTCTCCTAAGGCAGTCAAGGTGGTCTGCTCACACAGTAAAAAAATAAGTACAGACACATAGACATTGGACACATAAGCACACTATAGTTTCTTTCACTAACCCTTGCAGCATAGCAAGCTGCGGCAAACAGCGCCGTGTCATCAGCTATGGAACCACGCTCCTTTAATCGCCTCTTAATTTGTTCGCGTGCACCAACGTAAGTAACACCATATACAGACGTCATAACTGTCTGCTTCACCAATTTACGATCCACCTAAAATTTCCAATCACCAAAGCCAAGCATTAGAAACATCATATTAAGCAGCAATGAAGAAACAGAAATGAAGAAAATTACTCAAAATCTTAATACTTTGGCAAGCACAATTAACGATATTAACCTGATTAATTAAAAGCCTAGCATGCAATGCATTTGGATTAGTGGCAGGATCTTTTTCTGCGTCGTTGCGCATTATATCGAGTACTCTGCATAGCCACAAAAAATTTCATCAGACAAATTAACAAGAATGATGTCACTTATCAGCGGTATTTCTAGGGAAAACAACAAATTTCAATCTTCTTTTTAAAACAAATATTCTTAGGGAATGAATTAGGCTGCTGACTCCTCTAAGTTTTCTACATCCAATTCATATTATTGCAAAAGATGCAAATGCTTATATGCCATGCTAAAATGAATTTTTGCTCACAAACTCAACTCGGAGAAAGTAACAGTTACCTGGCAGCAATTCCTGAGTAAACATCTGCAGGTTTATCTCCTCCCATGAGATTTACAGAAGCAGCTCCAAGCTAAAAAAGGATTAGCAATTTGATCAACAAACAAAAACTCACACAATCACCAAGATATAAATGAATTGTTCGGTAAAGAATTTCTTTTAGTCGAAGCAATGTGATCAACCACAAAAGCTGTCATTGGGTGCATAAAAGGCTCGGGTTGGAGATCTCATCTGAGTAAGATGAACACGGTGGTGCAAGTGAATGAACTACTATGATCATAGATTTGGAAGAGCTTCACATTAAAACTAAAATATATTGAACTTTTTTCTTAATTTTTAACAATAAAAGGGTTCATTACCTTGTCCCTTCCAAGGGCTGCATAGTGTTGTAAACCATTACATGAGCCATCCTTGCAACACAAAAAGAGAACTGAGATCAATTTTTTGGATAACAGAATCATATGTACCAAATCACTAAATACAAAACATAGCAAAGCATGGGAGATGTCCAATGGTCTCTCAACTTCAATAAAAGTGAAACAGTTGACAAGGCAACAGGACAAATAGAAATCTCAAAATCGTTCTCCACCAATGATATCCATCATAACATTTTATAATGCGTAACCAACCACTATTGATTCTAAAATCTTTTCATTTTAGTACCTGGAAATTCAATCCAAACCAATTAAACCTTTTGGTTACATTTCTTTTTACAGCAGAAGACGGAAGTGATTTCAACTTCCCAGATGATGCAACTGTAACCATGTAGAATTCACAATTTTGGTAGTTTCTTGGTTCGGAATAAAGTAATGAAGTTATAATTGTTTGTAGAATATGATTAGAATATTCTGAGAGATGAATTACCTGGTGGACAGGCATATATGAAATGGTAGTCTCTGGAGAGGGGCTTCTCAATGCTTCACAGAGATTAATGCATGCTGCCAAGCACTGGAAAGGATCCTCTGCACCCAACCACCAGCGCCTTCCTTCAAGAGGTCTGTCTGCGGAATCAAAAATTTCATCTACGTGATTCTCGGTAAAGGCTACTCGATCATCAAAGGAGAGTTTGTCCACACCCCCAGCATATAAATTAGCCAAATGTATCTTCAACCAGCGTAAGCCTGACTTTCCAAGGTGCCGTCCCTCTGAAAACTCCAAGATGCCTCGGCACATATCGGAACCAAGATGGTTTAGATATGGGTGCATGGGGTAAGCACGACCTCGGAAATCGAGGTTGTGCGGGTAGTAGAAGCCCTCCTCATCCTTCATCTTTCGAGATGCCTATTCCGATTCAGTGAAACTTAGTATTAGAGTATCCAATAGCACTGATTATTCAACTTAACAAGAATGATTCTTACAGCAAGTTTAAGTTCTATATCACACCGCTGTGAGTGCCTCTCACTATTCTCCTTCTTTGCAGCTTTAAGTTTCCACTTCCATTTTCTGATTTCTGCCTCATCTTCTGTGTCTGGTTCTTCTGGTAAAGGAACCTTTTTAAAGCAGGAAGAAAAGTGAAGGTGAATCATTTATCGATAAAAACCAAGGTGCTGAATTACATGTTAATTTCAAATTGCAGCAAAACAATAGAATTTCTGTCAAACAAAACCAGTTTCTTTTGCCCAGAAGCACAGGAAAGGTATGCACCACCAAGTATGGGAAAAAAAAAATTGGGTAATGATTTCCACACTCCCTTTTTATCCACTTACACTCCTTTTTTAGTTATAAAATGGAGTGTAAGTGGATAAAATTGGAGTGGGGAAATCACCACTCAAAAAAATTCCAGTTAAACATAACCCACATCTTCACGGTCAACCAAGTCAGCAAGACGGCCTCCGCTAGCCCATATCCTGTCTATCACACCAAGTACCCTTTTGTTTACCCTCCATTTGGTACTTCCAAGAGTATCCAGGGCCTAAAGACAGAGAACAATTAAGAGATTAGAAGAAGCTCCAAAAATTTCAAGTGAAGAACCCTTGCACTGGTGTAAACATTTAAGAGCTGTTTCTGAGGAAACAGAGTTTATGCACAAATACTAAATGCAGGAGAAGATGCAGTGCAGAAACTAAAAGTAACAGATCCTGGGGCTTTCAAACCTCAAAAACAGGTTCTAATTGCTTTCTAGGAGTCCTTTTAACAACTTCACGTTGTTGTTTCGCTCCATGAGTTCGCATTACATAGGATGGTAAGAATAAATATGCTCCTCTGTCATACCTGCCAAAATATACCAACAGGCAATAAGAGTTGGCTAAAACCCCAAAGTGCTTAATTTCGCTAGTTGCTTCAAAACTAAGAAGTCCAGCTAATCTAAATACTTCATACCCGGTCCAATTAATAGGGGGAACCAACATAGGCATATAAGGCATGACCATGTGCCTTGCCTGCATGGACAGAACATAAATTAGTACAGTTGCTACTCAGGTATTCATATGCTTGTAATAAAAAGTAAGATTATTGCCCTTGTTAGTCACAACACAAGAACAAAAACATTAAAGAAACAACCTAGAATCGTGAGCATGAGCCAAACAACCTGTTCAACTTACAGTTTTCTCCATGCCTTTGCGAACTAATGGATCGCACTCTATAACACCATATCTCCTACTGGTCTTCCTATTACAAGAAACCCAGAGAAGTATAAAATAAATAAATAAATTGATATTTGAAGAGGAGGAGAGGGATAGAGAGCGGGGTTAAGCAATACAAAGATCAAATATTTCTTACTGTGCGTCTTTAGTGATAGTCTTAAGGTTATGTACAAATGCAGGGCGTATATCAGGTGGACCATCTCCTATTTGATCAACTGGAGGTTGTATATATGCTGTGTCCATCAATAACTGAATCAATCGACAGCCAACCTGGAAAGTACAAGCACTAAGATAATATAGCAACAATAACAAGAAGATAGTTTGCTTATTTGAATCTATAGACATCACAAACCTTAACGTGGGCTTCCTGACCCCATGGCTTCAAGTCTTCTTGTTCCTTCACAATTCCTCTAACTTGCTGCATTTTCTGCCTTTTTATTAGTTTGTTAACCTTTTTCCTAAGTCTCTCTTGTTCATTGGCCAGTTTCTCTTGTTCATCAGCCAGTTTCTCTTGTTCAATGGTCACAGGAACAGAATCAGCTTCAGCCTTCTTATCAGTAGTGTTCTTCTTCTTCTTTGTCTTCTCCAAAAATCTGTGTATCCTAACCTGATACACATGATCATTTTATATAACTTGATTAAGTTCAAGACCAACAAATAAATGGAAAATAGCATGTCAATAATATTTAGCTGCTAATCTGACTGGGTGCTGAACCAAGCATGACTACCTAATGAGAAAAGCCTTCAATTAGTCATGGAGGCATGAGAGGCCAGACGACTCAATTTCATACAAAGGCAATACATGTAATCCTAGAAAATGGAAGTTCATGTTTTTGTGTATATAATCCTACAAAATGGAAGTTCACGTTTTTGTGTCTATAAGGAATTTAAGTAATGAGTTTCTACCAAACCTAACAAATTGATAGTTGACCGATAACTAAAATTAAAATTCTAGCCAAATTGTTCATACTACAGCAAACTTAGAACCAAAATCAAAGTCACCGCACCTATCAATGTTCCCAGAAAGAAATTTGGTGAATTTGAACCGCATATGTCAAAAATAAAGATCAAACATGAATTACGAAATAAGAAAATTCTAAGCTCACAGACCTCATGCTCAATGGCTTCACCTATCGCACAAGCAGCTTGGACTACCCTGACACTGCCTATTCCACCATTATTTGTCATCAATAGCCCCATCAACTTATGCATTGTAATAACCGCCATTTTATCGGCCGGTAAGTGATCAAAGTAGGGAGCATGACTCTGTCTACTGCCAGTTTGCTTGCAGGAATCTTGGTCTGCCGCAATGGCATCTCGTAAAGGCTCAAACCAACCAAGAAACAATGACTTGATGTATGGCAAATTGGGTGCTAGCTTCTGCTCACACATGTCCGCTAAAAGCTCTTGGTACTCTTTGGCCGCCTCTTGCCAAGCCTCCGTCTCCAGTTTTATTTGCCTCTTCCTTAGAAGATTGTACTTTCCTAGTCCCATACCAACCACCACTCTCTTTGGCTGCTTGAAATGGGACTCCACCTTGTTGTTTTCTCTGATCAAATCCTCCAACATTTCCTGAATTTCTTCAGACCCCGACGAGTCCTCCTCGCCATCTGTCGAAGCAATGGCCTCGGCAACACTGGCATAGCCTTTGGCGTAGTTGCAAAACCCAGAAATGCCATAAGGGAAACTTGGATTCAGTGAACTGCATCTGCCCAATTCGTCCTTTTGAGAAGCCATATCACCAACTTGACGAAAACCCATTACCAAAATCCGATTATTTATGCATTTCCGAGCATCGAAATGCCTGGCCTTCTCGAGAAAGCTCGATTCTTGAGAAAATATCATAGAAGTAGAAGAAGGGGAACTAAAATGAGATTGGGAGGAGAGATTGGTCTTTCTCGAAGCAACTTGTTTAGCCAAGTTTCTCCACATATTTCCCAGAAAAACTTTTCAAATTAATCAATCCGACTTGCAGGTGCTGAAAGATACAGAGGAATGGAAAATATGATACGGGAAATCAAAAAGGGAAATCTTAAATTGTCGAAGAAGCAGAAAATCGGAGAAAAAAGTCGGAAGCTATAAGAAAATTACAAGTTTTACTTCTAAAAACAAAAAATCTACAAATGAATTGGAAAAGTGCGATCTCGAGCGATCGAGGAGGCAGGGAGGAAGGGTGTGACTGGATTGAGTAGCCGCCTTTAAACCCTCCTTAAACCTACGTTTTCTGTGTTTCTGATAAAGCCGTTGTGTATTCGACCCGAGATTTTCCAAGTCGACCTGTTTTACAACTCAAATTACAAGTCGGTTCGTGGGTTGTCCGGAATGATTAATTGGGCTCATTTAATAGCAGTAATATGGTCCCATGGGCTGGGCTTTGCCATCGTGGTTTGTCGTTCGGGCCTTCCTCTTATCTGAGCTTGCAGGGATGAAACGTGTATCACTAATTCAACGTGTTCTTCTTTTTTTCTGTTTTTGGTAAAACAAAAGATACGAGAGAGCATTTAAATTACTAACAAGTACCGTTAGATTAATCTAAGGGCTTGTATTAAAGAGTTGCTCACAAGTCCTCATTTTTAAGTCCTTAAGTGAGCGACACTAGTTGTATTAATCACTTCTTTAATTTGTATATATGTTACTGTTATGCAATTAGTTAATCAGTATTGATCAAATTATCTATTTGTGTAATTTTTTTTCTTTCATATAGATGGATCACGTCACCCATCCGAAGACTCTCTTGTTTCTCTTGTTTATGTGTGGACAGGTGATGTAGTTCACCGGCCGGACCCAAGAATTTCTCCACGAAGTGGCCAGAATCTAATTTGAGCGTCTCCTTGCCTAGGCCTCTGTTTTAGTGAATGAGCTAGGTTACAAATTTAGTAGCCTTAGACTAACCAGATCCATGAAACTTGCATTGGCAGTGGAAGATGTTATATTCTGCAGAGTTGGTGGATCATTTATTTTAATTTCAATTACTACATCTTGAGCATGAAGACCGCCACCGTTTTCCAGTTTCTTCATGCATGAAAATATTTATGGAGGCAAAAAACGAGTCCTCTGTATTTGTGAATATTGAATTGTTTCTCGTAAGGTGGAAATTGGTAAAAGCATAGGTCCGCATAACCAAAGGCATGCATTTCCCTCACACCAAGTTAGCGACCGTATGCTTTCTTCTAAAGGCTAATCAAATATTGCCAAAAAATTTATCTAAAACATCATTTCTGCCAGACATTCAGTCACTCCATGGATCGCTCTCGGCCCTCACTTCAGATGGTTCAATTACTGCATCAGATGATTCTCCCGCACCACTGTCAGCTACCACCGTCTCTGCCTCCTCGTCTTCCGATCTACCCCATCTTCCTCCAAGGGCCATTGCCATCATCTCGTATATCTTGTTTCCCAACTCAGCTGGGCTGTCAGGCTGCATCATCGAAGAAAGAAGTAAGAATGGCATAAATCTACTCTAAACTATGACATTTCAACAAAGGAAAAACAAAGGCTTGCTCCTTACTGTGAATCCACTGGAGATCAATGCTGTATCATACAAAAGGTCTACAGCTCTCTTGGCATCTGTGCTGTCAGGGGCGTTCTTGCAAGCAGCCTGCAGTAGAAAACAACTGTCAATCCAGTGATTTTAAGTCTTCTACTTCCAGTCAGGAATAGTTCTCCTGACACCACATGAAAGCATGAAATTTTTGTTTTTGTTTTTGTTTTTCTCATTCACATTTTGATGCATCTATCTCGCATATTCGATCTACTGTTTAATAAGAGCAGTCTCATGATCCTACCTTTAGGTCCTTAACGATGGGATGATCTGGGTTAACTTCCAATATTCTCCTGCCCCTCATGAACTCCAAACTTGCAGTATCGCCAAGTGCCTGTGCTTTCATCAATCTGCAAAAGAAAAATTTGTTATCATAATCATAGCAAGGGAAGGTAACAATTAACCAGCACTTTTCTTGGTATGTATCCTTAGTGCAAACAAAAATCCACCTTTCCATATTGGCAGACCATCCAAACTTGCCAGAAACAAGTACACAGGGAGATGAGCTTAGACGCTTTGAGACTTGGACTTTCGCCACCTTATCACCAAGTTGTTGCTTTATCCAGTCACAGAGAAGATTGTATTCTTGTTCAGTTTCCCTTTCTTTGACCTCATCCTCATCACCTGGTATCATAAACTTTTTGGTGAGAAACATGAGAAAGATAACAAGAGGGAAGCCACAAAGCTGAACATAGTAAAACAACTTCCAATAACATCTGAACATGCTGATTAATTTTCCAAATAACTAGGGGCGAGTACTAACCAAGCTCTAAATCTTCCTTGCTAATGTCTACAAACTTCTTTTCTTTGTATGTCTGTAGGTTCTGGATGGCCACTTCATCAATAGGTTCTACTAAATACAAAACCTGTGACAAAAGAAACAGCATCAGCAACCTGGGGAGGAAAACTCATCATGAAGGAAAAACAATTGTTTCTGAAACCAATTATTTTTTAATGATGTTTAAGATTTCCGTTCCTCCTAAAAATTTAAAAGGAAAACATAATCGTCTTGTCTTTTTCTACCATTAGCATGCAAATCAGATTTTCTATACCAATCACCGTTGTTCCTCTACTGGACTACCCCCAAATTCAGCAGGACAGATACCTCAATATCTTTCTGAACCAACTTTTCCAAGAATGGAGCACTTTTCGCACTTTTCAGACTGTCTGCTGCCAAGTAATAGATTGCCTTCTGGTTCTCAGGCATGTTCTCGACATAATCATCTAAGCTTATCAGTTCTTCCTCACTTTTTGAAGAGTGGAACCGCAACAAGGGTGTTAGGCGCTTGTGATTTCCAGAGTCCTCGATGCATCCCAACTTTAGAAACCTGCCAAAGTTCTCCCATAATTTCTTGTAATCCTGGGATCACGTTCAACCATTTTCCAAGTTAATAACAATTTTCAGCCTTTCAGGTGGAATTGATGAATAAAACACAAACTTAATTGCTGCCACCAACCTCTTTATTTTCACTCTCAGAAATCTCTTGAATCATGTCAAATGTTTTCCGTACGAGTCTCTTTCTCATAATTCTTACCTGAAAATGGTAGACAGATTGAGATGAAGAAATAATACAAATATCCAAGCACATAGCAAGAACAAAGAACTAAATATTAAATGCTACAGAGATGTTCATTCACAAATTTGTAAGAATAAAAGCATTCCCTTCACAAAATGCATAAAGATAGTGGAAAAACTAAGGCTTACAATTCGACTTTCTTGAAGAATCTCTCGAGAAACATTAAGAGGAAGATCATTTGAATCCACCACACCCTTAACAAAGCTCAGGTATCGAGGAAACTGCAAAAAGAATAAAGGTATTACAGCCACAAACCATATTTCCAAACAAATAAGCATCAACCCCAAAATGTATTTTCAACATTCTGGATGGTACATCACAAGTTGAATGCCATCAACAGACCACTTTTATGCTGAACTAGCACAATCGTAGCAGAGGGAAATGACTATAACATCCAAACAAATCCATTGATGATGGATAAAACAACTCTTCTTTTGATTAGAACATGTCATAACTAAAAGAGTATTAAGGAATACTCCATTTTCCAATTTAAATACAGATTAAACAGTCAACAATGGATTTGCAATACAGATGAAACAAAGAAGATCACCACTAACATGAAACAAAGACGAAGAATTAATGGATGCTCAAATTCACATTGTTTTGCAATATATCAAAACGTACCAGTTCACCATCAAAATCATCTGAGATAAATATCCGTTTCACATACAAACGTATATTCTTTGTTTTTGCATTCACTACATCCTCATTGTTAAGAGGCCCCATTCCAGGAATATAAAGAACACTCCTGAACTCCACCTCACCCTGCGCGGATTTTAAAGTTAAAACTCCAAATCTGCTAAATTTTCTGCCTCGACCAATATTAAAACAACAGACAACGAGACAATGGGGGAGATAGGGAGAGAGAGGGATGGAGGGAGAGAGAGAGAGAGCAAGAGAGAGAGAAGCCATTTCAGTACCTCAGTGGTGAAGTGAGTGTATGCAACTGGATCCAAGAACTCACTAAAAGTTTTCTTGTAAAATTCATGGTACTCGTCTTTTTCAACTTCCTTTGGATTCCGCATCTGCAGAAGAACAAAAACAAAATTATTTTTTTTTATATAAAAAGGCTATAAAATATATAACAAGAAAATACATACACATTAGGCAAACAGACCATGCTGAATCTAAAATACATATACCATGACATCAATAACGCTAAGCCTTCAACTCACCCATATAGGCTTCGTTTCATTTGCTAATTCCCAATCCCAATACTTCTCAGTTTTTGTCTTCTTTTTCTTCTCACCCTGGTAAGAATTAAAGTTACTTATTTCACTGTATAAGTTGATGAGAAAAAACTACATTTCCCACAATCAGGAATCCTATGTCAATTACCTGTGGCTTTGGTTCTTCTCCTTCTTTTGGTTCTTCCTCCTCTTCCACCTGCCAAAAGTTTCCACCCAATGAGAACCAGCAAAAGGGCTAATTGCTTCATTATATGAACAATAGATACTTCTTAAGCATATAACTGCGAGGTATAGAAGAAATATAGCCTCAACGATTAGTTTGCAAGGTCAAGCCAATAAAGACTACTTATCCAGAGAGTCACATTTTGATAACAATACTTTTCTGATTATCACCTACAATGTACACTTGATATGCACCTTCAACTAATAAAGAAGTAACAGTCCAACCATTTAGGGAAAGATGAACCACATGTAGAAATCCAATTCTACTAATCCCTTCAAAACCTGCCATATAGAGGGAAAGGGTTTGACAAAGCAGAAAATGAAGTACTCACCTCAACAGTCCTTGATTTTTCTTGCCATGTATAGATGGGGAAGGAAACAAACTGCGAGTAATTCTTCACCAAACCCTGGATCCGGGCTGGCTCTGAAAATTCATACTTGTCATCCGGCTGCAAGAAGAGATTTAACTTTAAGGTAAGACATCAGAATAAATTGAAAAATAAGCAAAGGACTGTCCCAACAAAAGATAATGACTTTAATGTGTCAACATCTGGCAATTTCTGGGCATAACTTCAACGCCCAATAAACAAGGAAAGTCACATGCAAAATGACCAAATGCCATGAAAAGAGAAATGAAGTAGCAGGTAAGGTACCCTTAAATAGAGTGTGATCTGTGTTCCACGGCGTATGAGATTTTCAGGATCAGTTTCTTCCCTAATTACATAAGAGCTACTGTCAGCCGCTGCTTCCCAAACATATTGCTTGTCTGACCTTGGGCTTTTTGTAGAGACAACAACCTGATTTTGTATAATATATCCAAGCCAATTAGCAGCTACCCAGGAAAAGCCATCCACGTTAAAAGCTCAGCTAAAAGCAGATAGTTAGAAAAACGCATAAATAATTGTGAAAACCCTACTGCACCTTCTCAGCGACCAGAAAAGCAGAATAGAACCCAACACCAAATTGACCAATTAAGCTATTGTCTGCACCAAGATCCTTATTTTCCTACCAAAATATAAGGCTGAGAAGTAAGCTTCAAAAGCATCAAAAAACTCAAAAATCATTCACATGGAAATAACAAACTGAAATATAATGCATTCAACTCTAATGCCCGGTTGTGGGAGGCGAGCGAGAAAGGGAGAGAGGGACACCTTCAGAGCCTTTAAGAACTTTGAAGTACCACTCTGAGCAATGGTTCCAAGGCAGTCAATGAGTTCCTCTTTCGTCATTCCAATACCAGTATCCCTAAAAGTCAGAGAATCAGATTTCAATTACCTCCACTAATCCATCCAGGAACAAAAATGAAGCAAAGATTTACAAAAACATACGTTATAGTGATAGTCCCATTATCTGGATCAGGTTTGATGCGTATCTGTAGCTCACCAGCATCTCCAAGCAGAGAGGGCTCAGTCACACTCAAAAATCTCAACTTGTCCAAAGCATCACTTGCATTACTGGAACAAGAAAGCAAAGTAAAGTCAACACATGCACCAAAAGAAAGGCAAATACAAAACATATCATAGTGAGCAAATTATACGATACTCATCTAAAATCTATGTGATTGAAAAGTTTAAAGAACAAACGAAGGAGCAAATTCTACAAGCAGAAAGAGCATATCCTATAGGTGAGTCACCAGAATGACACGTTTCATTGAAGTTTAGGCATATGCAGCTTACCTCACAAGCTCCCTAAGAAACACCTCCTTGTGGCTGTATAGACTATGAACTATCAAATCCATTAGGCGAGTGACCTGCAATTAGTTTCAAAGTCATCAACTTTCGATTCCAAACTCAAAATCCAATAACCGAATCCTCACAAGTAATGAATACTAAGACGATTAAAAAATATCATTTTCTATCCAACAGTGACAAAGACACATAATTTAGTACCAAAGCGTCCATTTTGATTGCGAGGAAACAGCAAAAATGCATAAAAGTCTATAAATTTCCTATAAATTTTAGTCACTAGGTTACTGCAATTGCAGAGCTGTAGTTGATGAGTTCCAAAACCAAACAGAGAGTAAATAGAATTCAAAACCCAATTGAGTAATAATCCAAAAGACCAAAAATGTATCGAAACAGAGAAAGGGACGCACCTCGGCTTGGTACTCGAATTTTTCACCGGGCGTATCGGTGGCTTCTTTCTCGGCAACCGCCGCATCACATCGAATAGATATTCCTCTGTTTTTGCTCTCAAGCTTCCACTTCAATCCACCGCAAGAGAAGCCCTTCCTGAGCCCATTTTGAGGAACAAAAGCACTTCTCAGGCTCAAGGCCTTGCTGGGGTTCCTGAGTGTGAAGGGAGATGAGGAAGGAAGTGAAGCTAGAGAAGCAGTTGCTAAGCTTCTGCTTAGAACTGGAGCCATTGAACCCTAAACCTAACAGATGTTGGGTTGGGGGCGATGGTTGTGTTGTGTTGTGTCAAACAGAGTCTCAAAAATGTAAAAACCCTTGTGACTTCGTGAGGGTTTAGCAGTTTTAAGTAGGAGGTTGGAGTGTTCTAGAAAGATCAAAACTTTGGGGCTTTTCCCTTTTGTTTGGACTTGGAGCTTTGTTCTGCGGAATTGTGAGGCCTATATTCTGCCATTTCAGCTACCACAACAATATCCTCTTCTATTTTAAAATTTTATTTTCATTTTTATTGCCAAAATTTGAATTATTACTGGGAATTTGATCATGTTCCAAATTTCCAACCCAATTAAATATCTAATTAATAATTAAAATGTTTGCAATAGCCACAAATTACTACACAATATGACTTTGCATGTTCTGCGGATTGTATTAGCTTTCCAAGCACCAATTGAGGTTCAAAAATGGGAAGTAAAAGGCTTGAGACTTGAGTCACACTTGAAGAAATTCAAACTCAATTCTTTACACTCAATTCATGTTCATATGGTATATGGTCTCTTTTCTTTGACCAACATGGCAACATGTGTGATGGGGCTATGAGAGAAATCCCTTAAAACAAGTATTGGATCAAAATTAGTTTCAGGCAGAACATGATCACAAAGTTAAATGTTTGATATGTTTGTGTTTGAACTGAAGATGGTGGCACGCCGACGCAAACAACACACTGAATCATTACAAGGCCTTTCATTTGGGCCTTAGAGCTAGATCCATACGCTCAGAGTCCCGATTCAGAAAAAGGAGAGAGGCTGGAACACTGTTCAGTGTGCCCAGTCCCACACACCATCTCTTCTCTGGGGGGGACAGACTGCTTCCATGTCTTGTGGCAGTTCTCCCCTCCTCTTGCTAACTCAAGTATATCAAAACTAGTACAATATAAAACAGAGCTACTGTAGCTTATGTACCAAAACATTCAACAATACAGAACAAAGCAGCAATATATTTTATCAGATATCAGATTGAGGAGACAACTGAAGAGAAAGAAGAACCCCATGAGGAATGGGGCTGCACGTGAGCCTATTACCATTTGATAAAACCTTGGGGGAAAAAATCATTCCCTTCATCCAAACATCCCATCAACCAAACATTTCAGTCTCTAAACAAATTACAATCCAAGAAGGAGCACTCAACCTTTCTACCTCAAGCCTCTAATGCTGCATGCTTCAGACAATCAACATTACACAATCCAACCGACCTCACCATATCTCCCAAGCTGCAACCATTGAATTTCAACCGTCATTGTTAAAGTAGAATTGTAAAGGAAACAAAAAGAAAATCGTGGATAGTTTAACTCACCGGTCGAAGCTGTTTCTAGCTCTCTCTGACTGATCTGTGCTATTCCTTGCCTTGCCAGATCGATCGGTGCTCTTTCTTGACTTCTCTCTCTTATCAGTGCTGGTTCTTGATTTCTCTCTGCCGTCTGTGCTCAGTCTAGATTTCTCTCTCTGCCCAGTGCTGGACCTAGACTTCTCTTTCTGGTCAGTGCTTGATCTGGCCTTCTCCTTGTTGTCTATGGTCTTCGGAGAAGACTCCAATGGATCTGCACTTGGTTCAGGTAAACTTTGAACACGTGGTAATTTCTCTATGGCAGATATGAACTTCCTGAGATGCCTCAAGTACTCTGGATAGAGTTCCAAATTACAATGGTTCCCTCCTTTAAGCCACAAAGGCTCATACTTCTCTTTGCAAAGCTCCCACAGTTGCTTACCATGGGAGAAATCCACAACTTCATCTTCAGTTCCCTACAAAATTGATCAACTGTATCAGTACTTCATGCATATTTTGTAAGAAATTCATTTAAATTATGCATCTTTAAACCCACACAGGCATTAAAACTGACAAAGTTTTGGACTTCATGCATATTGTAACTAATTTCTTTACAGAAGTGTAGAGTGAATCCCACTGGAAAGCATTTCAATTTGTGGAAGTCATAGAAGAATAAATCAAGTTCAAGCCGAACTGAAATGCAAGATAATGTAGTTCACAATCTGTAGACTAATTAGTTAGGCCATACAAAATGTGCCACAAATACTCAAAATCATAATACCAAGCAAGAATGAAAGGAAATTAATAGATGAAGACTTACATGAATTACCAGAACTGGGCAATTGACAAACGGGATCTTATCGATATTCTGCAGCAGAAACAAAACTCAAACATTCAAAAACAGAGATCATTAAACCAATCATAAAAAATAAAAATAAACTGATTTTGTTCAATGAAAGTGGAGGTGAAACCTTGTAAATGTCGAACCAGAATGTTTTCTTAACAGGGTACATCACTCGAAGGCCAGACAGTATAGGACTGTGCAGAACTACAGCCCTCAAGTGAGGCAAACGAATAGCCAACTCCAAAGCAGGTCCACTTCCAACTGACTGTCCATACAATATGACGTCTTCCTCCTTTATACCATACGTCTCTTCAAGGCATTTATATGCAGCCTCTATGTCTGCATAAGTGTCCTGCTCACTTGGCTAATTGATGAAGGTATATATGTGTTAGCATATTATCATCAATATGCTTTTGATTGTTACAGAAACTAAAGCATGTCAGGACAGTAACCTTAGCATAAAGATGCAGACAATGAACACTTGCCATGGTCTGAAACTGAAGTGTTACAAATGAATGTTGACTTGGAAATAGTTTGAGCAGATGGGGAAGTTTTGAGAAACTATAATTTCTTTTTCTTCTTTTTGGTTAAAACATATAAAATTAATTTATAGCCAGATGGTACTATTGTTTTTGCCAATCTATCATCAAACAAGATGTAAACAAACAGTCCTTTGAAAAATAAATGGGCTCATGACGGTATCAAAGGTCATGTCAAACAGTGACACGTGTTCATTCACAACACTGGATTTGACCCAATTGATCTTAATTACAGAAAATTAGGTAGGCACTAGCTAGCTGGTCGAATTATACCTTTCCAGAAGATTGTCCATAACCAGAATAGTCATACCTGCAAAATCATATAGCACCATGAAATCCCAACTGATAATAATGGTCTAGATCCTCGCACCATTTCTAAATTTTTTCATTAACAGAAACAAATTAGGTAACAACTCATTAAGAAAAAAATATATATATGGAAACTGACCCCATGAGATTTACACCAAGATGAAGACTAAGCTCAGTGAAAATGTGGTACATCTGACCTAGATCAGCAGCATTTCCATGGGAGTAAAGCAGAGTGAGAGAAGCACATGGATTTTTGACAAACATTGCCACAATCTCATTCCCTTTCTTGGTGCTGAGCTTGACCACGTCCACATCATCTCTGGGATGAACATCAGAGATCCTCAATTTCCCAGTTGGTTCATCCACATATATGCTATATGATGGAGGGTCTGGTGGGAAAAATGCAAACTTTGCAGCCATAGAAGATGTTGCAGACCCCATTTTTATTTGATCGGTGGAAGTTCGAAAAAGACGGGATATTTAATATGGGAAATTAATTTGTGTGGTTTGGGTCATTGGGTGGCTAGCTGCAACAGGTGAGAATTCTACTGCATGGTAAAGTTTGGCTTTTTGCTTTGAAGCTGGTGTTTTGGTAGAAAACTATGTGCTGTGTAAGAGATGAAAAATATGAGATTTTGAATCATGGAAGCTTAGAAGGAATATGAAAGTTGTTTTAAAAGGTTTGTGTTTGATTTGTCTTAATAAAGAAAAGGGTTTTAGCATTTGGTTTATAGAGAAAATGTTTGAATTAATTCCTGTTTTAAGGGTGAGTGAGTGAGTGAGTAAGAGAGAGAGAGAGAGAGAGGCAAAGATAAAAAGGACAAGACAAAGATAGACAGAGGAAGAAAAAGAAATTCTTGTCGGATAGCAGCAAGAGTGATTTCCCGAGTTTATCTTTTTATTTATTTATTTAAATTAAGGTATATCAAACATTCCTCATGGAAAATAAATGAATAAATCACAAACGGAATTATAAAATAGAACAGAAATATTGTAAATCAATTGCCTAAACATCATCATCCCATTAATTTATTTTCGTACAACGCCATTATATAATTAGTTAATTGTGATACGTTGGCTTTCTTTGAAATAAATGGGAAATAAATGGGGGATCGTCGTCTGCAAGTGAAAGCCAAATTTATCTTGAACTGTGGAAAATATCCGAAGACATATTTTTGATTCCCACCCTGCATAATAGTAATCTCTCAACACCATCATGCAAAGGTCAGCTCTTTAGGCAATACTAGCAACAAAAGAGGATATTGCTTGCCTCCTTTCCTTCATGCAAATCACAGTTTGGCACAAAAATAAAAATAATTCATTATAAAATAAAAAAACTTGTATATATATGTTTATCTGTTTGCATGGGCCCTATATTCTCCTTCTCTATTTGTATATAGGCCTCAATAACCTGTTTCACATTGATTGGAGAAAAATGGAATTGTTAATGGGTAATATAGGTGGTACAAATAAAAACTGCAGGGCAGTGTGTGTTATTGAATTAGTAGTTTAGACTTATGTTTTGTGACAATTCCAGGTCCCACACAATATCTTTGATATCATGATTCGTCACTTTCTCATCATGGAACCCAAAAGTTATTAGTGCGGATTTGAATACATGAAATTCACAAGATTAGTTTCAGTTTAATTGTAAATAAAAGATGAAAGAATTGTTCTTTTGGGATAAAGATATTACCGAGGTTGAGTACTTAAGCAGTATTCTTCAATTTTGTCCCTGTCCTCTTTTGGAATTTTCTGCCAAACCTTCCTTTGTCCCCATCCTAGTTTTTTTTTTTTTTTTTTTTTTTTTTTGGCTTTTTAGTTTTTGGACATCTGAAATGCCTCGTCAATAAAGATAAAAGCCCAAATACTAATGTATTACAAGACCCATCAGCCCAATAAAATCAGGCCTAAGTTCATCTCCAGTCATCGGTCATAGGCCAAATATAGCCCAAAATAATACAAAACTCATCTCCAGTCATGTGCTAAAGAAACTTTTAGCCAAATTTGGAGGGCCACATTTGGCCCTTTAGCCCTCCAACCAAGCCACTTGTAGCCACTTTTACTTTCATTTATTTTTATTTTACTCAATTTACTGAAGTTTACAATGTAAATAAGGAAGTACCTCCCATTTGGATTCAAATAAAAATATTAGAAAATCAAATTCCCACCAAAATAAAAATATGAAAAATCGGTTTTAGTGCAAAATATGATTTAGGCTAAAAATGATGGCTCATTAAGCATATATACTTCATATTAAAATCCCATAAAATCAAGTTTTCTTATTTGATATGTAAGGAATAAAAGCCGCCAAAAATTATCTTGAGAAAATGATTATTCTGAAAAATCATTTTTCATACTTAGCCAATATTTTTACATAAAACAATTTTTCAATATGTATGATATGAATGCATGAAGGGACCTAAGGTCAATCTAGGTAAAAAGTCTTAGATGTTCAATCCACAAAGAGTTTTGCAAGAATAACCTAACTCTTACGTATTGAAGAAATATTTTCTTGAAAAAGCTCCCCCTAAGACAGTACTTGTAGGGGTCCAAAGTTTGAGAACTAGAGCCCAAAAGAAATGCAAATAAAGCCCAAAATCAAAATGACAACAGGCCTCAAAATTGACGTAAATGCCCTAAAATGAGTAGGATTGCGCTAATATATGACAGCTCCTATGTCAAATAGGATGGGACGCCTTGGGAGGCGAAGAGAATTGGGCTAATTTTTTAGTTTAGTAGAGATATTTCGGGTTTATTGTAGTGTGTATCTATTTTTTGAAGTTGGCACAGTTCTCTTTGATAATGAACAAGAGTGTTTTGTATGGTTTTATCTATTAACTATGAATTAGAATATTTATCATTTCATTTCAATGGGTTTCTTTTGTATACAAATTTTTTTAACCTTTTACACGTTGACCCCTGGAATGAAAATTCTTGGATCCGCCACTGCTTGTAGTCCAACTTTGAACAAGGCCAAAATTTTTATGGGCCCAATTAGGGATGACAAAAATCCTCGCAGGGGCAGGTCCCCTACCCTAACGGGGGAGATTTCGGGGCCAAACGAGTATCTGGTACGGAGATCCCAGAACTTGAAAAATCCCTGACGGGTATGGGGAGGTGATGGTATTGGCATCCCCATCCCCAAACCCAGGGCCAACCTTGACTTTTGGGTGGCCCTAGGCGATACACTAAATTAGGCCCCTTCCCTTAGTATATAATTGGGAAAAAACAACAAATAAAATGATTTTACGTAGTGCCTAGAGTCTAAGTCTCTTAACAGCAAAGTCATTGTCTGTGTATAGTCTGGAAATTGAAAAAATAGTTTGATGGATAGGAACAAATATATCAAAATAAAAATTTAATTACCTTTTCAATTTCTCATGTTCCCCCCTTCTTGGTCACCATCAATCTCAAAGACAATTTGTGAGATTTTTAGTGTGAGATTGATTCTTAGGGTTACAATATGATATGAGAAAAAAATAATGAGAGAAACTGAAAATAATGGATGGATTGAAGAGAGATGGGGAAAACGGTGAAAAATATGGTGGTGGATTATTAAGAGATGGGTGGATTAAATAGAGTTCTTGCATGGAGAAACTAACTAGAAGAGGAATCTCCTTCCTCAAGCACATGTTGTTTCTGTTTCTGCGTGAGAAACGAAAAAAACCTTCTGTGAAGAGGAAATGAAGAAACCTAATTTAATCGTGTGTTGTTTTTGTTTTTTTATAAATAAATTGGACAATAGTATATATATAATATATAAAAATTTTGGGGCCCCTTAATTGGAGGAGGCCCATGGCCAACCCCTCTCGCCGACCCCCAATGCCGACTCTACCCGAACTCGACCCGAAAATATATATGTTTATATTTAAATAAATAAATATATAATTATAATATTTATGTTTAACCCTAAGTTAACCTCCCTCTCCTAATTCTTCCTAATCTTCTCTGGAATTTCATATTGATGTATTTTGAATAGTTAAGTTGAACTTTATAGTTAATTTGGATGTGTTGAATGATAATTGACTATGAAACTTAATGTTAAAATGTTTGATAAATATATTTTTATAAAAAAAAAATTAGGGATTCGGGGCTGGTATGGGGGATAGTCCCCCAATGGGGATGGGGACGAGGATTCCCCGAAACTTATTAAAAGGGGATGGATTCGGGGATGGAGAGCGAGGACGAGGATGATATTGTCATACCCAGCCCCTACTCGACCCATTGCCATCCCTAGGCCCAGTGCATGTGTTTTCAAAAAGAAAAAGTATTGCACGTGGGTAAGAGCACGAAACATTTCGTACAACTGCAGATCCAACAATTAATATTAAAGGCATGTTGACATCAGCTAGCCGTTAAGTTTTTTTTTTTAATAGTCTTTTTAAATGTTTTTAAATTCACTTTATTTTAATATATATATAATTGGTTTCTGACCATTGGAGGTCAGAATCATTGATTGAAAAGTTACTTTTTGTTCATTTAAAACCTTTTTAAATGTTTTTAAATTCATTTTATTTTTAAAAAAAATGGTTATGACCTTTGGAGGTCAGAACCATTGAAACGCATCCTATTTTTTTATTTTTAAAAAAATTGCCTTTGTTGGCTTTATTATTATTATTATTATTTTTTTTAAACCTAAAATATGTTTATAAATACCTCAAAATTTCTTCAAAAATTTTCCCACTCATTTCATTCCACATTTCTTACAAATTCTATCACATTCTCTTCTTATTCACAACTTTTCACACTTTTTCTTTTTATCAAATATCTTCTACACGCATTTCATCCAAACATTTCCTACAAATTTATTTTCTTTATTTATTTTGTTATTCATATTGTTTGAAAAATGTCCCGGACTTTGAAGGATGAAATTGGTCATGAGTGGAAGATAAACATCTTGCAAGGCTTTCATTAAAGTCTCCGAAAATAGCGTTGTGCGTACTAACCAAAAAAGCAGTGGGCTTTGGGAATGCATCTCACAAAAATACACCAAGCACTACAACACAAAAACCCTTCTATGACGTCTGATTTGCGTCATGGAAGGCATTTAATGACGCGGATCAGGCGTCACATAGATAATTACAATTAATGACGTGTATTCCTGACACGTCATTAAAACCATGTCATCAAAAAGCCTTTTTGTTGTAGTGAAGGCATCATCAATCGAAAACACTCCATTTTTTGACATTTGAAGATGAAGATAAGAGGTGCCACGTACATGTGTTAAATGCTTATCAACGTACACATATCATATATGGAATATTGTCTATAAATAGTAGTTTAATTAAATTAAACAATACATAATTGTGGAATGTATGAGCGTTGTACCATAGTTTTTCTCAAAATAATAAAATATGAACGGCCTTAAAATATAGCCATGCATGACTAGAGATGGAAAAATTTAACCCCACACTATTCTTTAAAAAATTAATATTTTAGATGGCCAAATTTATAGCCCTAGACTAGATTTAGCCCTATGACTAGAGATGGCCTAAAGCAAGAAGAAAGAAAGAGACCCAATTTCAATTTTTAATAGTTTACTTCATCGAAATGTTATATATATGTTATTTGTGAAGGAAGTTAAGGTTCCACCCCAAAACCAATTGGTAATTGGAGGAGTAGCCCAACTCCTTATAAGCCCTTGCTAGGGTTATCAACTTTCCAATATGGGACTTTTTACTTTCACAATTTGTACCATCTTTATTGACCG